AAAAATAGAGTACTGCTGTTTGAGTGTTCGATTTTAGGATTTCCTCTTTTCTTCTAGCATGAGTCTTCCCATGCATTTAAGACACCAGATTTCCCCTTTAAGGGAGGAGGAGGAGGAAAAAGAAGTTAGCTTAAAGATCGAGAATAATATTTGTTATCTGAGAGTGATGTGGCATGTGATGTTAGGATTACAGGAGATAGAGGTGGTGAATTAGGTGCCTAATAGTGATCACTTTTTAAAAAGAAAATGTTTCACGGACCCGAAAATGGGACAGATAGGGGGAGCCATGAGAACCAAGTAGAAGAAGCTCGGCAAAGTGATCTGGTACACAAAGGGTATCCTGAAGACGTAATAGGCCTACCACGAGAGTAATTGTATCCTGAAAGATGAGCTTATAAAATTTGGAAATCAACTTCAGAGTGCCACTTGTTTATTGCGATTCTATCGCTTCTTTCTTTCAATATTTTCTTTAGAAAACAGTCTATCGTATTTTTAATTTACAATTTTTCCCCATCTCAAATAGACAATATCAGTTTCCCATCAGAAATGTGATATATCTAAGCACTAGTAGAAAATCGATCAAACTAGACGGAAATTTCCGTCTAGGTTGATTGCAATTCCGTCTAGATTAGTTCATCTAGACGGAATTCCGTCTAGTTTGATTGGTTTATTTTGCTTCCGTCTATATTGCTTCAAACTAGACGGAATTCCGTCTAGATTGATCAATCTAGACGGAAGTCAACCTAGACGGAATAAAGAATATTACTGCCAAATTTTTTCCATAAATCGGTGACACTGATGTGATTTTAGGAATCTGTTACTCTGAACAGCTTGATCTCATCAAGATAAGCGATTTTTTATATATAATATATTAGAACCAGCCTTCTCGGTTGAAAGATATAATCATTTTTTCCAAAAGTCAATAATATGTATGTATTCGCATTTAGCTTGTGATTATCCCGATTCTAAATGAAATTGTCTGTTAAGCATCATACATCAGTATCAAATCATAACATCAAAGCGCTACAAAGATGAACATTAAAATAGCAAACCACTACAAAGCACAAATCAATTGACATAAACTTGTAATTAATGGTTGATGAAAGTCACGTGACATCACATGTTTACTTATCCCATATATTAAATCTCGTTGGGCGACCAAAATTCGGGAAAAACAGAAAAACCCAATTGATGCTGGACTAACAAAAAATATCCATATGACCGAGGGGTTGAACGAAAAATTCCAATCTGACATTTTGGCCTAAGTTTTCTTAAATATCTAAGGCGGTTGTCAACCACGTTAAGTCAATCTTTTATTAGGCTTCCTATATTTAACTTTTATCGCAAAAGAGCGGTGTTAGAGGCACACCATGAGGCACACCTCCGGTCACACTCCCCCACCTGCTACAGTGCAGGGGGCCCCACAGGAGATTTTTAAAATGCTTACACCAGGTGAAGCTCCGACACCATGCAGAGGATATCTTCCTCTCCTATTATTAGGAAGAAATAAATATTAAACTTTGCTCTCAAATTCAATAATGGTAAACAAATATAAATATTATGTACTATTCCACCTAATAATGCCCCTCATTCCTCTTGGCGGTTGTTTAGAATCAGGCTTACCTCCGCCACGTCGTCCCTCTATGCGATCCTTCTTAGCACCTACAATAATGACAACATGATAATATATCATATAATATACAAATGTGAAAATTAAAAGTATTTATA